AACTTTTTTTGACCACGCACCCAAAAAAAAAAAAAAAAAAAAAAAAAGAAAACATATTGAACTGAATGGAAATGAAATCATGACATATCAAAACTGTGGGATGCGGTTATATCAGGGCTTGGGGGAACCAGCAGAGGGCTCTTCACCTACAAACGTGGGTCTGAAGTCAGTGACTTAGACTTCCACCTTCAGAAACTAGACAAAGGAAATTAAATCCAAGAAGCTATACTAGTTCCACCTATTCAGGAGGCTAAGGCAGGAGAATCATTTGAGCCCAGGAGTTCAAGGCCATTCTAGGCAAGATAGGGAGACCCCTCTCAAACAAAAATCCAAAGTAAACAGAAGAAATAGTAATGAATAAAAGTGGGAGTGGAGGGGGATGGGAATTGTGAAAAAAATAAGAAACAACTATAAGCCTATCTGCCAGGCACTAGACTAGCCAATGAAGATTTCACATGCATGGGGGGATATGAGTGAACAAAAGTCAGGCAAATAACTCTAATAACCACTGCTACAAGTGTTCTAAGGGAAGAGGAACAGGGTGTGAGAAATGGAGAAACTAATTTAGGTTGGGAGGGAGACAGTCTTACTTCAGGGAAGGAGTGGAAATTAAATTAAAAAATTAAAGTCCTTTTTGAACGTCTGATCACCAGAAATGTGGGAAAATCAATATGTGTTGTTTTGAACCACTAAATTTATGTTAAATTTTAATAGCACCAATAAGAGACAAATGTAATCCCTAAGGGACTACCTGCCACCCTTTCTCCAAGTGCCTTCCTTTATTTCATTCTTCCAGAACTTCCAAAGAAATCCTTTTTTTTTTTCTCTATAAGGAGCCAGCGAATCACTTTTAATTAGACAAATCTATACAAAGATTTCTTCAGCTGGTAGGATTTTCTCAGGATATGTGAATTTTTAAATTGACCCACTGAGTCTAATGAAAATTCTTAAAAGGTGGAATCCAGGCACAAGGCCAAGATGTTTTGGAAGTGGTCAGGATCAACTTAGAAGTCTGCCAAAAGACTGGGAAAGCCCAGAAGCCTGGAGTGCTCAGGGTCATGGGGCCTGCTCCGCTCAACCCTCTCAAGGGGACCTTACATGGACATCAGTGACAGCTGCCCAGGCTGAGTCAGTGCCCACCCTACCGCTGTAGCTTCTGAGGGGACTATCTCACCAAATAACCGGCTTCATCTGTCTTCTCTGCTGGGGGTGTTTCAAAACCTCTTGTAGACCCAACTTCAGGAAAGTCATCTTTGAACTTAATCCGGGTCTGAGAGGTCTCTCTGACCAGTGTTTTTTATGGTATTGCAATAAGGAGCACTGGATTTAAAGTCAATGCTGTGAAGGCCCTTTGCTTCTACTTACTCACCTGTGTCAGAGAGCATCCTAGAGTCTCTCTGGGCCTCACTTTCCTTATTTACAGAAGAGGAATAGTATTTACTTCTTAAAATTATTACATAGATAAAAAGAAATCCTGCAAGAGAAGGGAAAGCTGTAAATGCCCTGCACTTTCAAGAGTATCCACGCTCAGCCATAGGACACTTCCATAACTGCGATGTTCAGCCTGAAGCCCTAAAGCATCATGTTAAGCGGCAGGAACCCCAAACCTGCAGGTATGCAGTCACCGTTCTCCTCGGAGAAAGGGCAAAACCCTAGAGCCAAAACCATTAGCTGCCAGGGACTGGATGTGGTGCGGTAGGGGTGGAGGGGTTGAGGCAGGAAAGTGTCCGGGGTCATGCAAATTTCTATGTTTTGACTGATTTTGTCAAAACTCCAAATTGTACAGCTGAGAGAGGTGAACAGTATGGTGTGTAAACGACACATCAATAAATTAATTTTTCAGAAACTGGAGATAACAATTTCCTAGGTATAAAGTGTTACATATGTGGCTGGCCCTTTATACCTGTGGGTTACGTGTGCATTTGATTTTAGCCACCCCTGAACTGTAAATATTTTTGGGGAAATTACCTCTGTACTGAACGGGAATAGATTGTTCATGTCACGATTCCCTACTCAATACAGTGTAACAACTATTTACATAGCACTCAGGATGAATTAGCTACCCTAAGCAATCTAAAGATGATTTAAAGCACGGGGGTGGGGATGTCGTTTAGAAACAGGGCTATATGAGGGACTTGGACATCCTGCATTTGGTACCCATCGTGGTCCAGGACCCAGCCCTCGCACTGCGTAGTCCTTTGGAAGAGGATCGAAAATGCATGGAACCAGGACATAACCTGTTCCAAATATTTGGCTTCTGGATCATGTTCATACAGCACGTAACGCGACTTTCTGTTATATAGCTCTCACCGATTACAAGGGTACTGAGCAGTTCCCTTCTAAAAAATTCAGAGATTGCTCTGCCTAAAGGAATAGGAACATCACCGAGAGAGCGACGAGGCAGGACCAGGCATCAACCCGGGAGCACGGAGATACCGGTGGGGGAGGGGAGGGGAGGGGGGACGATATGTCAGGAACAGATGTAAGCTTGGTTTGGAGGAAAGTTGTTATTGTTTAACATTAGTCAGACTTCCGCGGATAACGACCGCCTGGCATTAGCTTAATTAAAACGCCCGTAAAGTCTCCTGACGACCGACGCAGGGTGCGGGCCGGCGGGCGCCGTTTGCGCGCCGAGGAGGTCGCAGAGCTCTGGCTCC